CCTAAATTTTCAACTTCCTAGCTTTTGTGGTTCCCGAGTTGAAAGTTGCGGACAAGTTGCTGCGGAAACCACACACACACACACAGACAACCCCGTAACAATATGCGTTTTGTACTGCTGTTACACAGCACAAAACGCATAATAGAAATGGGCGCCATCACCTGCGTGGCACCCGCGTACGGGCCCGCCAAAGTTTTTTTCGGGTAAGTTGATAATCGAGCACTTGAAAAGCTAAAGGATTGTAATTTTAAGAGGATATTCCCCGCCCACCTATGTCTTACTCAGCTCAAACCTAGCCCTCGAGTATACGTGGTACCCACGCACGGGCTTACCAAAGTGTTTCTCGGGTAATTTGCTAACTCGGGAACTTGGAAAGATAGAAGACTGTAGTTTTAAGAGGATGTTCCCCGTGCAAGTCAACGAGCTCAAACCCAGACATCGGGTATGCCTGGCACTCACATACGAGCCCGTAGAATTTTTTCCAGTAAGTGGCTAATTCAGAAGCCAGGAAAGCTAGAAAGCTTAAATTTTGAGGGGTGTTTCCAGACAGTTTTGGCAGCCAGTCTTAATTTGTTTAGCTAGAAACATCTGCCGGGAAAGACAGTGCCGTTAGCTACAAAAATCTACGGGGAACTATGCAAAAAACGCGTCTTCGCACAGGCAACCCATGCGTTGGCAAATTACCTGCATTGCATAGCTGTAAAAAACGCATATTGTCTGTGTGTGCGTCTTCACAGTTTTTCATCTCAAGACCTACAAAAGCTACAGGGCTGAAACTTCGGGGACTTAATCTGTATGCGCGTATGGGCCCAAATTCTCAAAACAAGCCCCATTCCCCGCGTGGTACCCAAGTAAGAGCCAGCCAAAGTTTTTTACGGGTAAGCTGCTAACTCAAGAACCGGAAATGCTTGGGGGCTGAAATTTTAAGGGGATATTCTCCGTCCAAGGAGGTATTAATGAGCTCAAGCTCAGCCCCCGGGTAAGCGTGGTATCCGCATACAGACCCGTGGAATTTTTTTCGGGTAAGTTGATAACTCGGGGGAATGCTGAAATCTTAGGGAGATGTTCCCCGTTCAAGTAGGTGTTAATGAGCTCAAACCAGTCCTCGGGCACGCGTGGTACTTACGCACGGACTCACCAAATTTTTTGTCGGGTACGTTGCTAATTCGATAACTTGAAAAGCTAGAAGACTGTAGTTTTAAGATGTTCCCCGTCCACATAAGTCTCAACGAGCTCAAACCCAGATATCGGGTATGCGTGGTACCGACGAATGGGCTCGTGAAACTTTTTTTCACTAAGTTGCTAACTCAGAAGCCAGGAAAGCTAGAAAGCTGAAATTTTAAGGGGGTGTTTCCTGACAGTTTTGGCGGCCAGTCTTAATTTGTTTAGCAAGAAGCATCTACCGGGAAAGACAGTGCCGTTAGCCACAAAAATCTGCAGGGAACTATGCAAAAAAACGCGTCTTCGCACGGGCAGCCCGTGCGTTGGCCAATTATTTTTTTAAAGACAAATTTAGGTAGAACTGGATATGCTTGGTGGAACTCATGCTACCGGGAAATTTATGGCGATCAAGGCGGACCAGACGCACTACACAGTGGACTCGTTGAAAACGCCAGTTGGAGTGGTCAAGCGTGCTGCTTTACGCATGGACGATACGCCTGTTATTAGCACCGATGTGACCGATGTATTAGCGCATTTTAAAGTATCTTCCTATTGATTTGGCGGAGTAACAAATGTAGAGAACGGCCTGTGCGACTTAAATTTGGAGATTTTTCCTTTTAATAGTTTCGATTTTAATAATATTTTTTGGAATAAGATGTGGCCACAAGTACCGAAGAAGGGGGATGGGGGAATATTCAGCCCGAGATCGAAAGGCCTGACATATCGGCAGTTACAATAAAAACTTAGCTCGGCTCAGCTTGGCTGATGATCTGTGGTGCTTGGGCCTTCTAGCACTTTGCTGTATCATCTCTGCCAACACTATTTCACGGCGCCGCTCGCTGGAACTTTGCCAGACGCGCTAGGTAGCTCTATCATCAACTTTGACTTCCTTACCTCCTCGTTTTCGCATTTTCACTCCCAGCAGGGACAAGGTGCGAAATACGAAGAAGTGCAAATATTAGGAGGCATCCTTTCCTCTCCCTCTTCCTTGATTTTTGCTGGAATCTGATCAATCGCCAGCATTTGATTTGCTCAGGAAGTTCTAGTCGATGATGGAGGTAGCAGCTAATTTTTGAAGAATCATATAATTAGCGATCGAGATTTCTCATCCCAAACCGCACTGAATTTGAAATCTCTAAGTTGTACGTGAGCTGGAAAACTCCCTTAAAATTTTAACCTTCCAGCTTCTCTGGTTCCCGAGTTAGCGGCTTTCGCACCAAAAAATTTAACGGGGCAGCACTTGAGAACCGCGCACTTCTGGAGAGTGCTCGAAGAATGCTCAGATTCGATTAATTTGCTGAGGTTGGTCACAAAAAAATTTTTTGCAACTTGGATTTGTGCAATTCTAGGCAATGTTGCGGTGTTGCGATAGCAAAATTGTCCTGCATGCCAGAGACAGAATATCCCTCAAAAAGTTGAAACCTCTTGAGTATTCGCCCAGTGAATAGTAGACATCAGGAAGTAGTCCTAC